AACATTTTAGGGGGCCTCCAGTCAAAGATAAACTACTGGAAGGGAGAAGAGTGGGAGGAGAAGGGAAAAAGAAAAGAGCCAGTGCTCTCTCTAGTGGGGAATTGTGGAGAAGCATGCAGAGATTCTTGGTGCCCTTGGTGCTCAAAAACTGGAGGATGTTCTTTGCTTGCTATTATTTATTTATTTATTTATTTATTTATTTATTTATTTTGAGACAGAGTCTCACTCTGTCACCCAGGCTGGAGTGCAGTGGTGGGCAATCTCGGCTTACTGCAACCTCAGCCTCTTGGGTTCAAGTGATTCTCCTGCCTCAACCTTCCGAGTAGCTGGGATTATAGGTGCATGCCACCACCCCAGCTAATTTTGGTACTTTTAGTAGAGATGGGGTTTCACCATATTGGCCAGGCTGGTCTTGAACTCCGACCTCAAGTGATCCATCCACCTGCCTTGGCCTCCCAAAGTGCTAAGATTACAGGCGTGAACCACCGTCCCCAGCATCTGCTTGTTAATGTCTAATTGCTGACTAGAACACTCCAACTATCTCACCAAAGAGCAAATTAGATCTCCAACAAAAATGAGTGACAAAAAGAATTAATGTCTTCTTCCATTCAGGAGGGTCAGTTGATGTGTAGGACCATATTTGAATGAAGATATAACAGTAATTAAGTAGGAAAGTACTCCTAGTAGAGGTATTTTTAAATGGCAAGAGAACAAAATGTCTGGTTTATCTAAATGTGGATATTTACACTTTTGGTCATTACATATTAAGAATTTGAATCTATATGGTGACAGGATTTTTTCAGGTTTATTTCACCCCCATGTTGGGGAAAAAAATCTTGAGAACTCCACAGTCTCTTGAAATGATTGTCCACTGAAATTCCACCTATTCATAAAGTACTCCCACAACTCGCTGACAAGCATAGGTATTTTACATCCTGCCATGAGTTTCAAGACATTAACTCCTTTAGCTAGGAAAATTACAGTGAACAAAAATGGATAAAAACCATAGGTGACTGACAAGGCTTTCAAAAGTGCAGACAAAGGTTTGGATTCAAAGCTTTATCATATGGTTCGGCTGTATCCCCACCCAAATCTCATCTTTAATTCCCACATGTTGCCAGAGGGAATCAGTGGGAGGTAATTGAATCATGGGGGCAGGTCTTTCCGATGCTGTTCTCGTGACGGTGAATAAGTCTTATGAGATTTGATGGTTTCATAAGGGGGAGTTGCCCTGCACAAGCTCTATTCTCTTGTCTGCTGCCATGTGAGATGTGCCTTTCACCTTCTGCCATGACTGTGAGGCCTCCCCAGCCACATAAAACTGTAAGTCCAATAAACCTCTTTCTTCTGTAAATTGCCCAGTCCCAGGTATGTATTTATCAGCAATGTGAAAACTGACTAATATAGTAAATTGGCACCAGCAGTGGGATGCTGCTGAAAAATACCCAAACATGTGAAAGCGACTTTGGAACTGGGTAATAGGCAGCCCTTGGAACAGTTTGGAAGGCTCAGAAGAAGACAGGAAAATGTGGGAAAGTTTGGAACTCCCCAGAGACTTGTGGAATGGCTTTGACCAAAATGCTGATAATGATATGGACAATGAAATCCAGGCTGAGGTGGTCTCAGATGGAAATGAGGAACTTGTTGGGAACTGGAGCAAAGGTGACTTTTGTTATGTTTTAGCAGAGACTGACAGGATTTTGCCCCTACCGTAGAGATTTGTGGAGCTTTGAACTTGAGAGAGATTATTTAGGGTATTTGGTGGAAGAAATTTCTAAGCAGAAAATCATTGGAGAAGTGACTTAGGTTTCTTTGTTTTTTTTGTTTTTTTAAGACAGAGTCTCACTCTGTCACCCAGGCTGGCGTGCAGTGGCACGATCTTAGTTCACTGCAACCTCTGCCTCCCAGGTTCAAGTGATTCTCCTGCTTCAGCCTCTGAAGCAGCTGGGATTAAAGGCATGTGCCACCATGCCCAGCTAATTTTTTTGTATTTTTAGTAGAGACAGGGTTTCACCATGTTGGCCAGGCTAGTGTCAAGCTCCTGACTTCAGGTGATCCACCTGCCTCAGTCTCCCAAAGTGCTGGAATTACAGGTGTGAGCCATCACACCCAGACAGCATTCAGTTTTAAAAGGGAAACACAGCATAAAAGTTTGGGAAGTTTGCAGCCTGACAATGCAATAGAAAAGAAAATCCCATTTTCTGAGGAGAAATTCAGGTTGGCTGCAGAAATTTGCGTAAGTAATGAGGAGCTGCATGTTAATCACCAAGACAATAGGGAAAAATGTCTCCAGGGCATGTCAGAGACCTTTGTGGCAGCCCCTCCCATAACAGGCCTTCAGGTTTAGGAGGAAAAAATGGTTTCATGGGCTGGGCCCAGGGTCCCTGTGCTGTATGCAGTCTAGAGACTTGCTGCCCTGCATCTCAGCTGCTCCAGTGATGACTAAAAGTCATCCAGTGATGACTATTGCTTCAGATGGTGGAAGCCCCAAGCCTTGGCAGCTTCTATGTGGTGTGGAGCCTGAGGGTGCACAGAAGTCAAGAATTGAGGTTAGGGAATCTCTGTCTAGATTTCAGAGGATGTATGAAAATGCCTGGATGCCCAGGCAGAAGTTTGCTGCAGTGGCGGGGCCCTCATGGAGAACCTCTGCTTCAGCAGTGCAGAAGGGAAATGTGGGGTGGGAGCCTCAACAGAGTCCCTACTGGGTCACCACCTAGTGGAGCTGTGAGAAGAGGGCTACCATCCTCCAGACTCCAGAATCGTAGATCCACGGATAGCTTGCACTGTACACCTAGAGAAGTGGCAGACATTCAATGCCAGTTAGCGAAAGCAGCCAGGTGGGGGGCTGCAAAGTCACAGGGGCGAAGCTACCCAAGGCCTTGGGAGCCCATCTTCTGCATCAGTGTGACCTGGGTGTGAGACATGGAGTCAAAGGAGGTAATTTTGGAGATTTAAGATTTGACTGCCCACTAGATTTTGGACTTGCATGGGGCCTGTCAACCCTTTGTTTTGGCCAATTTCTCCCATTTAGAATGGCTGTATTTACCCAATGCCTGTATCTGCATTACATCTAGGAAGTCACTAACTTGATTTTGATTTTACAGGCTCATAGGCAGAAGGGACTTGCCTTGTCTTGGATGAGACTTTGGATTGTGGACTTTTGAGTTAATGCTGAAATAAGACTTTGGGGGACTATTGGGAAGGCCGGATTGGTTTTGAAATGTGAGGACATGCAATTTGGGAGAGGCCAGGGCAGAATGATGTGGTTTGGATGGGTCTCCACCCAAATCTCACCTTGAATTGTCACGTGTTGTGGGAGGGATTTGGTGGGAGGTAATTGAATCATGGGGGCAGGTCTTTCTCATGCTGTTCTTGTGGTAGCGAATAAGTCTCACGAGATCTGACAGTTTTATAAGGGGGAGTTTCCCTGCACAAACTCTCATCTGCTGCCATGTGAGACGTGCTTTTCACCTTCACCTTTCACGATTGTGAGGCCTCCCCAGCCATGTGGAACTGTAAGTGCAATAAACTTCTTTCTTTTGGAAATTGCCCAGTCTCAGGTATGTCTTTATCAGCAGCATGAAAACTATTATACCTGGTTACTTGCCCCTGATGGGTGAGGGCACCACACTCCTCTTCATCCCAGCTTCATGCTCATCTTCTTAAAGATACAGTGTTGGCTCCCACGGGCATCTGCAGGAGGTCTCAGGGGATCTCCCACAGGCCTATGATGACCCAAGCAACTGCATTCCTGGTCTACTACTTCCCCTGGGAAGGTGCTTTTATTCCAAACATAAGCCTTGCAAAAAGCAGTAATAAAATCCTGTGCAAAAAGCAATAATAAAATCTTGTGAACAATCACCATTTAGCAAATGATCTTCCTCTCTGCTTCAAACACACAGGCAGGCCCACTGACTACAGTGTACATTTTTTCTGTAGCACTTTTTGGTCACGGGAATGTAGCTGTGCCATAACCTTCTTCTGTGCCTCTTCTCTTCTCTTCTTCATCAGAGGATCTCTGGTAATCAGCACAGATCCTGCTTGACATGTTCTGCATAAAAGTTTACTAAATGAACAGGATAGTACCTTAAGACAAAATCGTCCCTCTGAGGCTGGGCACAGTGGCCCATGCCTGTAATCCTAGCACTTTGGGAGGTCAGGGAAGGCGGATCAACTGAAGTCAGGAGTTTGAGAACAGCCTGGCCAACATGGTGAAACTAAAAATACAAAAAATTAGCCAGGCGTGGTGGTGGATGCCTGTAATCCTAGCTACCCAGGAGGCTGAGGCAGCAGAATCACTTGAACCCAGGAGGTGGAGGTTGCAGTGAGCTGAGATTGTACCATTGCACTCCAACTTGAGCAACAAGAGCGAAACTCCGTCTCAAAAAAATAAAAAAAATTGTCCCTCTGATATGGTTTGACTGTGTCCCCACCTAAAATCTCATCTTGAATTGTAGCTCCCAAGATTCCCACGTGTCACGGGAGGGAACTGGTGGGAGGTAAATACATTATGGGCGCAAGTCTTTCCTGTGCTGTTCTCATGATAGAGAATAAGTCTCATGAGATCTCATCATTTTATAAAAGGTAGTTCCCCTGCACATACTCTATTGCCTGCCGCCACTTTGCTCTTCCTTCATCTTCCACCATGATTGTGAGGCCTCTCCTGCCATGTGGAACTGTGAGTCCATTAAGCCTCTTTCCTTTATAAATTACCCAGTTTCAAGTATGTCTTTATTAGCAGCATGAGAATAGACTAATACAACCTCTCTCCTTTTCTTTTCTCCATATGTCCCATGAGAGTATAAGCTAAAATAACTAGGGAAAAGGTGAAGTGTGGTAAATATAATATTTTTCTAAGAAGTAACAGCACTAGAAGACAAGCATAATTAATGTCCTTTTGACAATTATCACAAAATAAAAAGCAAGAAACACCACAATACAAATATAATTGGGTTTTCAAAGAAAACAAGTTACATGCATATATAGTCACACACTTCATCTGAGAACCTTGGCACTATTTCTTTTTATTATAGCTAGACAAAAAATGCCCAAAGATATACAAAACAAACAATACAAACTTTAAACACTTTTACAAAGGTGAAAATATAAAGAAATGAAGACTATGGATTTATGTTTGCAAACATTAATTTCCTTTGAATCCTGTCTGGTGTTAAAACCTAACAGTTTATCAGTATTTGTATCTGATACAACTATTTTTAAAACTACAGTGGACAAAACTAATGAAATTCTAATCATCAATAGCCTATGACAAATAACTATTGTAATTAAAATTAATACAATCTTCAACTATTCTCCTAAGTACTGTTGCTATAATTTTCAGTTTATTAAAACTTTTTATTTTAGGGAAAAAACTGACCTTACTGCTATTTTTGGAAAAAGAATTAATAAACTTTCATTAAATATTTAATCTCAACTTTTAAAGCTTAAAGCTCTTTATTTCTGCTAATCTGAAACTACTTTTGGTTCACTGCTAACTTTTAAAATATCTTTATCAATGTGATTTAAGGTCATTTTGTCTGCAGAGTGCTCATGTTTTTCATCTTTATACCAAAGCAGTAAGGCAAAAAAGCAGTTCCTTTTCCAAATCAGACAAAGAGAAAATATTCATCCATTTTAAAAGTCAGGAACTAGAACCGCTGCAAATGATCCTACCAATAGGAAATTAAGGCTGTTGTGATTTTCCTTTATATTTAAACCATAAAGTAAGATTAGCAGTGCTATTCCCTGTGAAAGTTGAATTTATAACCTTTGGGCTTCAATCACAGGACATAAATATTGCCATTTCTGTTTATACTTCTAGACACTGTTTTCACAATCACTTTTGGTAAGTTTTAAGATGAAATTAGAAAACACTACACAATGCTGAGAAAGTGCATGACTCTGCTACAAGGAGATACATGCTAGAGGTTTAAGAGCAGATTCTAGTGTTTGGTGAGCATTGGCACAGTCTGCCCCAGCCTGGCACACAGATGTACAGGACACACACTACCCAGCATGGCACGCAGTTGGGGAGCAGGGGCTAAGGCCTGTCAATGCTCCAAAGTGTCTGGCCCTCTAGTGCTAAAAGCAAGATTCATAGTTTTGCAAGAACCTTTGGGCACCGGCTAGAGTATATCCTGTTTGCTGCAACATTCTTCTTTGAGGCAAGTCCTTCTAGATATGTGAAAGAGAAAAATCATGTAACCTTTCCTGCAAAAGATTTCCCCAAATCATTTTCTAGCATGAATGTGAACCAGGCTTCACAGTATATATCTACCAGTATTAGCACCATTATTTTAACCTGTACTGAGGTAAAGATAAACTCTCAGACAGCTTTGGGTAGAAATTACAGCAGCAATCTTGAGTGGGGTGTTTACAGCAGCATTCTTTCTGATCATTAAGTTGTATGAAGAACCATTTGAATCCAGGTATATATATCCAAGTATATACTGAAGCTGATAAAATACAAAGGTAGGTTAGCAGGAAAAATATAGCAAAACAGAACTCTCATTTTTAAATTTAAACTATGTCATTACTGGGTTGATGAAGTCAAAGATTTGATAAAATATACTGAACGAATAGCACAAAGCTGGCTTTATAAACCATCAACACCCAGAAATTTCATTTTTCAGAGCATGGTCAAGTTTACTGTAGGTGCTACCCAGTCAACATCCAGAGCCTACATTTAACCAGGTCAGTCTATTTGTCCTCTGCTTGTTACACGTTCTGTTTAATAAAAAAGGTGAGTAGCCCTTCCCCAGTTATTTTTGTGTAGGAAAACCTCTCTGGAATTTGTACTTATCATTTTTATAAAGGACGCAGTGGAAAAGACGTTAAAACTCTGTAAAAAATTTAAAAGGGTACAATATGTTTCAGCAAATGAAAATGTAGTTAAGAGATAAGTGGACAAAAAGAGGTGATTCTCTAATTTAGTTCCTATAAGCTGATAAGGTGAAATAATAATGTTAAAATAAAACACTTAATGAAAAATTTTCAAATTGCTTTTCCTCTCCCTTTAAATTTCCCTAACATATAAAAAAAATAAGGAAGCTTAGATATAGCTAGCTTTTTGGAGTAACACAAAACTAATTTTTCAAGGAGAATAATTACCATTATTTATCAAATAAAATATAACTTTGGAGTCTGAACAGCAATGGAATTCAGCCAGTCTCCAGTTGGAGCTGACCTCCATATTTAGGCAGAAGCACTAGGCCAGTGCTTACTGCTCAGGCAGAAATTTATCATGCAATTTGACCAAGAGTCTTCAAAAATGCTCAGCAGTAGTATTTTCATCTGACCCTGTCGAGATTCAGAAAATAGGAGTAACTTCCCCCTGCAGCCTATAGAAACATTTTAGGGAAATAGTTTAAGATTTGTACTTAACCTAAAAATTCCGCTGAATACTGAAGACCCTTCTTTAGAAAACACAAGTAGTCATTCTTCTTTTATAAATCTTCTGGTGCTAACTGCACCTAACTGGTAATACACATGGAGGCATAGCTTAGCTATGTTTGCCAGAACGCTAATTACTATATAAGATCTTTCAGTTCCCTGTCAGTCAGTTCATTCACTTCCATGATCTTCTCTAAGTGTTCCATATATCGGCCATGGTCCTGCAGGAAGTGAGGGACCCTCATGTTTTCGGTAACTGCCAATCCTTTTAAGCGATCCACATCTTCATAAGAAACCTGAAGAAAGGAAGATGAGTTAATTTAAAAATGTAACTACAATGTACATTTTAAGGATGAATTTCTTCCCTGGGCCTTAAATGAAAGTATACAGATCATGTGTCAAATTATTTTAATAGCTGCAAAATAACAAAAATCAGTGACTTACATTTTCTTCACTGTGTTAAATAATAATGTATTTCTCTGCCCCTTATACCATGACCATATTAAAAGAGTATTATTATTATTTTTTTCCTGAGATGAAGTTTCATTCTTGTTGCCCAGGCTGGAGTACAGTGGCATGATCTTGGCTCCTTGCAACCTCCGCCTCCTGGGTTCAGGCAATTCTCCTGTCTCAGCCTCCTGAGTAGCTGGGATTACAGGCACCCGCCATCACACCTGGCTAGTTTTTTGAATTTTTAGTAGAGATGACGTTTCATTAGCCAGGCTGGTCTCGAACTCCTGACCTGAGGTGATCTACCCACCTTGGCCTCCCAAAGTGCTGGGATTACAAGTGTGAGCCACCACGCCCGGCCTAAAAGATTATTTTAAAAAGTCAAATTTGATTTAATACTGTACCTTGAACCTACTGTTTGTCTAAAAATTAGACAACTATACTTAATATATTTGTGTGTGAAAGAGACTCTAAAACCAAACAAGTCTTCTGGCTAAATTGAAATAAAAGAATCAAGAAAATAACTAGAATATAAATGACATATTATTAGATTTGAAAAATTGCACAATTATGCAGCTAATTTTTCTAATTTTTCTATTTTTGTTTCAATTAAAAGGAAATAAGACTTCATTAGAGAAATGGCTGATCTTCATTAGAGATTTGGGTAGGAAAAGTACAAACTGTGCCCAGACATTTTACTGTGTCAGAAAACATGGAGACATGTTTAAGACACAGGTGCAACCATGAAAAAGTTGAATAAAAAAAATTAAGTCCAATTAAGTCCACAATAATACTACAAAAACGGGGAGTGACAAAGAAATATAAAAGAATTAGAAGATCTCTATTTTGTAACCACCAGTGTAATAATTGATTTGGGAAAAGATCATCAAGGGTTATTAGGGAATAGTCCATTCATAAATATCACCCCAAAGACTATTTACTAATACAATGGGGGAAAGGTACTTTTACAATGGGGAGATCTGGTGGTCATTAACTTAACCCAGGTGATCAAACACCCAGATGATCAAATGGAGCAAAATGACACATACTTTCTAATGTGATACAATGGGAAATACACATCACTTATGTAGTATTCTTGGCAAAAATGTTTAACCTGAATCTCATCAGAAGGAAATAATCTGATAATCCATATTGTAGGAATTCTCAAGAAAACTGTGCCAATCTTTTTTTCTTTTTTCTTTTTTTTTTTTTTTGAGACAGGGTCTGGCTCTCTCTCCCAAGCTGGAGCGCAGTGGTACAATCATGGCTCACTGCAGCCTCGACCTCCTGGGCTCAAGTAATCCTCCCACCTCAGCTTCCTGAGTAGCTGGGACTAAGTGTATGCCACCATGCCCGGCTACTTTTTAAAATTTTTTTATAAAGACAGGGTTTCCCCATATTGCCCAGGCTGCTCTCAAACTCCTGGCCTCAAGTGATCCTCCTGCCTCAGCCTCCCACCTCAGCTTCCCAAAGTGTTGGGACTGTGGGCGTGAGCCACCCTGCCCAGCCCAAGTCTTAACAATGTCATGAAAAAAACAGAAAGAATAAGGCAAGCGGAGATTAAAAGAGAGAAAAGATTATAACCAAATGCAATGTATAAATCTCGACTGGATCTTAGATCACAAAAAAGGAGCCACAAAGGACATTTTGGAGGCACTTTGGAAAATTTGAAGTGGACTATATTTTTGATGTTATATTTAATCAGTAATAAATTTCTTAAACAAAATCATATAGTAATGTCAGAAAATATTCTGTTCTTAGGAGACATTACGGGGGAAGTGTTATAAGTGCAGCTTACTTCAAAATGCTTTTATAGTTTTCAGAAAATGCTTTTTAGAAAAATATGTACACAAAAATAAAAATAAAACTATATATATTCCCAAATTTCCTATTCCTTTATCTCTTATTGACCAAAAAGAAATTTTATAATTTGGTTCTATTACAGAACCAGATTTCTTCCCTCTTGATATGACATAAAGAAAATTTGTTCTGACAATAAAGTAAAAATAGTGTGAAGCTAAGTCTTATTTAATGCTAAGCTCGAGTGAGGGGAATGCTGATCTGGTGTGTTCAGGGATATGCGCCATGGCTTCTACTCACCTTCCCGAGGGCAGTAAGCAGATGGAAGTCTATGGTATCTCTGTATCGAAGGATTTGAAGAATTCCATCCAAGTATACCTGGTCTTTACTAAAACACCCTGGAGGAACCAGAATAGTGTTTACTTTCTGATGTTTAGAAAAATTACTAAGTAATTAGATATCAACCCGTTCCCTTTACCGTAAGAATCAGTCCTGCATTAAAAATATTCTAGTTTGTCAACATTTATTTTTATTTTTATTTAACTTTCTTCATTACATAAAATGTCAGGTCTTGAGAAGTGCCAAGATGGTATACAGACTAGAACCTTAAGAATTCCTTCTCCTCACACATCCTCCCCATTATTAAAATAACAATTCTTTCCTCATTATAAATAGAGACTGGTAATTTCAAATATATGACTCTTATAAATATGATTATCCCACCTTCCCCTACTCCCACCATTCAGTCATAACTCCCATTGTGCACTGAAGGCATCTGAGTGGGGAGACCTGAGCCGGATAGTTTTAGAGCAGGTACATCTCAATAAAGGTAGTGGAGAGATGCAGGATTTTAGAAACTCCTGGTATTTATAATATTAATAATCCTTCCTCTCCATTAAACAAAAGCAAACTATGGTTTTAAAGCATAAATTTTGACATTGGTTCCTCTCTATGTAAACAAGAACTAGAACTAGATTTTGGAAAGCATGTAGGTTTAAAAAATAGAAAAAAAATGGATAAAGACATGAAAAGTAGAACATTTCATGAGATCTGAACCTAGTTAGAAAAGGATATTCTGTTTACACAGTAAACCTTTTTCCCATCCTGACACAATTTGTGCAATTTAAAAAAAATTTTTTGCTCTATTAAATTAATTAAAATTCTACCACATGGAGTCATATATTAAGAGATTATTGTTAATTTGGTTAGGTATGCTAATAGCAAGAGGATGATTTAAAAAATTGTCCTAATCAGAAACATTTATGGGTAAAAGAACATGATGTTGGAATTGGCTTTAAAATACTTATAGGAAACAAATTTGGAAGAATAGACGACCACAGTTAGACAATGTTGATAACAGCTATGATCAGGTAATATATTACTGGAGTTCAGCATATTAATCATTCTTTTGTATACATTTGAAATTTTCCATAATAAAACATGAAAAACACAAAAGTATGTGAAAAAAAGAAAAAAGGGACTAGTCTAAAAGTGATGAGCCTCTATCGGGTTGCTCAAAGGCAACATAGAAGCCCTGTGCATCTGGGTACAGAGTACTAAAATCCAGGCAAAGGAATCTAAAAAGAACACTCAAAAATGCCCTTGAAAAAAGAGTACAATTTAAGAAACATTTGTTTAAAAGTCATTTTGAATTTCAGGTTAGTTCAGTATATCAATGAATTTTCTTCTAAGAGTATTGAGAAGAGTATTTTAAGAAATGGCAGACAAGTTGCTCATCTGAAATCCTGCCTGGAATTGGCTATGCACACATGAAAGACAGAGAGAGATGTCCTTCTCTTTCCTGCTTCCTATCTTGCCTGCTCCTGGCTCTAAGGCGCTACGCTGTCATATGAATGCAACACTAGTATGAAATGTTAATGTGGGCTGTGCTAGCAACATAACCATCACTACTTTGAGTAAGTATTTACCAAGCTCCAAATAAATAGTTTAAAAACACTCTTAGGCCGGGCATGGTGGCTCATGCCTATAGTCCCAGCACTTTGGGACGCCAAGGTGGCTGGATCACCTGAAGTCAGAAGTTCAAGACCAGCCTGGCCAACAGGGTGAAACCCTGTCCCTACTAAAAATACAAAATTAGCCGGGCATATCGGTGCATGCCTTCAGTACTACCCTACTTGGGAGGCTGAGGCTGGAGAATCACCTGAACCCAGAAGGCAGAGGTTGTAGTGAGCCGAGGTCGTACCATTGCACTCCAGCCTGGGTGATAAGAGTGAAACTCTGTCTCAAAAAAAAAAAGTAGAGACTGCCTCTCTAGATTCTGCCTCTCTGGGCAGGGCATCTCTGAAAGAAAGGCAGCAGCCCCAGTAAGGGGCTTATAAATAAAACTCCCATCTCCCTGGGACAGAGCACCTGGGGGAAGGGGCGGCAGTGGGCGCAGCTTCAGCAGACTTAAAACATTCCTGCCTGCCGGCTCTGAAGACAGCAGCGGATCTCCCAGCACAGCGATTGAGCTTTGCTAAGGGACAGATTGCCCCACAGCAATAAAATGATCAAAATACTGATACATGCTACAACATGAATGAATTTTGAAAACATCATCCTAACTGAAAGACGCCCACCACAAAGAATCACATATTAGATAATTCTATTTATATGAAATGTTCAAAATAGGTAAATCTAGAGATGATTCATTTGCTTAGAACCGGACACAGGGCAGGAAATGGGGAATGAATGCTAATGGGTATGGGTTTCTTTTGGGGTAATGAAAACATTCTGGAATTAGACAATGGTAATGGTTGCACAACTCTGAATATTCTAAAAATCACTGAACTTTACATTTTAAATGGGTAAATTGTATGGCATGTGAATTATATCTCAGTATAGCTGTTTTTAAAAAGTCAAAGACAGATAAAGCAAAAATAGCAAAATGTTAACAATAGGTAAATACAGATGAAAGGGTAGATGGGTGTTCATTCTACCATTCTTTCCATATTCTACAGGTCTGAGATTTTTCAAAATTGAGCTGGGTAAAAATAATGCTAAGAAAATGCTGTTTAGGAAAACCAGTTCTGACCTCAGGTAACCAAGGTTTAATTTTTTTAAGTAAGTGAATTTTGTGATTCAGGGATTACAAAATCACTAGACAACTAGTCAGTAAGTCAGAAAATCTGCAGTTAAAGGACACCCACCTGGTTGGGAAGTATCAGTCCATCCCCTCTTGGCCCGTACACAATAATCCCATCTTGTATTGGGGTCCTTGACAAACCTGCCAATATCTCTGAAGAGTTCACAAAAAGACATTTGGCTGGCTCGATAAACAGTGTAGTAGAGGAGGGCAGCCCTCCACAAAAAGGGGTCTTTTCTAAACAGAACACTGTGAATGCTTGCTAGTCCTTCCTCTGTGGGATTATTTGGCTTCAGCTCATGTTTTTTACGTCCAGTCCAACTGTTCCATGGCTGCTGGAGGTTGTTAATACCTCGAAAATAATGTGTACCTATGGAGAAGAAAAGTTACATGAAGAAGAAGAAATGCCATTCTTGTTTTAATTCTTCCCCCAAAGACAGATTCCATCAACAAGTCTAAAACCAGCCGGGCACGGTGGCTCACGCCTGTAATCCCAGCACTTTGGAAGGCCAAGGCAGGCAGATCACTTGAGTTTAGGAGTTTGAGACCAGCATGGGCAACATGGTGAAACATGTCTACCAGAAATACAAAAAATTAGCCGGGTGTGGTGGTGTGCACCTGGGGTCCCAGCTACTCAGGAGGCTGGGGTGAAGGGGATCACTTAAGCCTGGGAGGCAGAGGTTGCAGTGAGCTGAGATCCTGCCACTGTGCTCAAGACTGGGCAACAGACCAAGATCCCATCTCAAAAAACAAACAAACAAACTCTAAAACCAAACAAACTCTAAAACTAAATTAATGTGTGCCTACAAATCAAAACAAAGTAGAAAATGACCTGATCCTAACATCTCTTGGGTGTGAAGGAGTACACTGCCTTCAAAAGGATCACGTCTCAAGAGAGGAGGTATCACCTTTATAACAATTTACTTTTTTAAAGGAAGAATCACAGACTTGATATTTGAAAAGAACCTCAAAGATACCTGAATTCAACCCCCTCAGTTTAATGCAGGGGAAATCCAGAGCAGTTAAATGACTTTCCAGGTTCAATACACCTAAACACTTCCCTTAAAAAATCTAATTTGAAATGAGACATAAATACATTAGCTTCAGTCCAAGTGAAGCTCATGACTTTTTGCTAAATTTTCTTCTACTAAGAAAATAAAATAAACACTACTAAAACTCATTCTAAAAAAACATTTCTTTAGAGCTATTTCTTGATATTACAAATAAACAAATGGAAAGGATTGCCTCTACCTATTTCATGCCTCAGCATTCCCTCCAGCCAATGCTCACGTGCAGTGCACACATTGATAGTCAGAGTTGGACATCCATTTACTACTGTCATTGATGCTCGGGAAAGCAGGTCCTCAGTGAGATGAACTACAATCTAAGGGGCAAGAGAAAAAGTAAACAGACATAAAACATGGGCAAGAGAAAAAGTAAACAGACATAAAACATAACATAAAGGTAAGGGGAGAAGCTTTCGCAGAAAACAATGGGCCTATAAATTAACACTGTTTTTTGTTTATAACCACCTTAAATCTCCCAGAAACCAAGATGGAATGTGCAGCCAAATCACCTGTGACCCTTCTAATTTTGACCCTTTGGGAACTCAAGAACCTTCACTGAGTTTAAGGGAAAGTAAATGGCTGTGTTGAGGAAGACACGAAGGACTTAAAATTGTACCTCTGAGATGTCGTAAATATGCTCCCTGGCTAAACTGATGCAGACGAAGATACAGGTGCCAGAATCCAGCTCATTGCCAGTGCCAAGGCTTTGAGACTGACCACTAAGAGGACTAATAAGAGAGGCTTCTGGGGCAAAGCTCTTCATTAGCAATTTTCATAAAGTAATTCATCTAATCCCACAAGTTATACAGAAATGGCAGTAAGAAGAAAAACAAAAAGACACTGAACACATCAAAACAATTCAATGCAACAGGAACTTAAGACTTACAGTATTTAGTAAGAAATCTGGGGGACTAATTTAATGAGTAACATAGGGTTGGGAAAACAAAATCTACAGAAAAGAACGACGACTAGGCTGGGCGCAGTGGCTCACGCCTGTAATCCCAGCACTCTGGGAGGCCGAGGCAGGCGGATGACCTGAGGTCAGGAGTTCAAGACCAGCCTGGCCAACATGGCAAAAACCCTGTCTCTACTAAAAATACAAAAATTAGCTGGGTGTGGTGGCTGGTGCCTGTAATCCCAGCTACTAGAGAGGCTGAGGCAGGAGAATCACTTGCACCAGGGAGGCGGAAGTTGCAGTGAGCCAAGATTCACCACTGCACTCCAGTCTGGGCGACAGAGAGAGACTCCATCTCAAAAAATAAAATAATAAAATAAAATAAACTACAACTGTCACTGACAGTAACTCCTCATGTTTACTCGCGATTCATACCTCCCCTAGGCAGCCTTCCTTCATCATGTACTTCCTAACGTGACTCCAGATTCGAGTTTTAGAGAGCAAGCTACCACCAGTGGCTTGTTCGAATTTTTCATAACTTCCGTATTTTTGTAAAGTCAGTTCCATAATATTGATAGACTGTAAAAGAAAGAGATAATGAAAGTAAACAGCCTTATATTACTTTGAGATGTCCTAAGCTAGCTATGTTATTTATTGTGACCTATTCTAGGTTTATTGATTTCCAAATTAAACTGCAACTGCAGTGCCAAACTTTTCTAACCCTAAACAACTTCCACTCATTTTCATAAATTTGTACAAACGCCTGTACACCTTAGCAATATGAACTCTTCCCCTGTGTTCGTTTCTCCTTAACATGCTGACGGAGGGCTCAAGGACTGCATATTTCAAGTGCTAACATCTGATAGGCCGAGAAGCTGGGGAGAGGGACTCCTGGCTTCTCTGAGATAATTTGGTGGTTTGGCAGGAGAACTCAGAGTGGAAGGTATGTCTTCACACAAGTCAATAGATTACCACTGCCCTTTGAAGGAAAAAAAATTTCAAAATTTTAAGAACACACATAAGAATCAGTCTGACCCTAAAAACTATTGAAATAAAAATTTAAAAAAATTTTTTTAAAAAGAAATCAGCCAGGCGCGGCGGCTCATGCCTTTAATCCCAGCACTTTGGGAGGCTGAGGCAGGCGAATCACTTGAGGCCAGGAATCTGAGACCAGCCTGGTCCACGTGGTGAAACCCTGTCTTTACTAAAAATAGAAAAAATTAGCCAGACATGGTGGCACAAGCTTGTAATCCCAGCTACTTCGGAGGATGAAGCAGAAGAATCCTTGTACAACCTGGGAAGCGGAGGTGGTGGTGAGCTCAGATCGTGCCATTACACTCCAGCCTAGGCAACAAGAGCGAAACTCCATCTCAAAAAAAAAAAAAAAAAAATTCAATCAGTCTTCCGCAACAATCTGTCTATTCTCCTGGGTTACTCTTTGGCAGAAAACAAATTCTCAGCATTAATAAAAATACTTTTATCTTTCAGTCAGGGCAGAATATTATCTACTTTTCATTCTTCATAAATTTTTGCAGCAAAGGAATAAGAAAGTTGAGATATTTTGGCCGGGCGCAGTGGCTCAAGCCTGTAATCCCAGCACTTTGGGAGGCCGAGACGGGTAGATCACGAGGTCAGGAGATCGAGACCATCCTGGCTAACACGGTGAAACCCTGTCTCTACTAAAAAAACACAAAAACTAGCTGGGCGAGGTGGCGGGCGCCTGTAGTCCCAGCTACTCGGGAGGCTGAGGCAGGAGAATGGCGTAAACCCGGGAGGCGGAGCTTGCAGTGAGCTGAGATCCGGCCACTGCACTCCAGCCTGGGCAACAGAGGGAACTCCCTCCCAAAAAAAAAAAAAAAAAAAAGAAAGTTGAGATATTTTTTCACAAATGCACAAATTAACACACAGGAAGAATGGAGAACTAAAAATAACTGCTAAGGAATCACAAATTATCAGTATCTATGGCAAAGTCATAGAAAGGAAAACCTAAGGAAAAGGAAAATTGCTTTTCAAAGGCCTTTTGGGAAAAAAAGCTAGCAAATTCAACTCTATCTTACATGAACTGTGTAAGAACCTAGGGAATTCATATACATGTCATATAAAGTCTATAGTTTCTGAACTGTTACACTAGTAAAGAAATTACACGTACAAGCTCTGGAGTTGATGCCATGGCTCTGTCCTCTTCTGGCTATGTATCATGAGCAAGTCACTAAACTTGTTTATTATTATTATTATTATTGTTGTTGTTATTATTAGACTAGCCCAGTATAGTAGTGAGAAAAGGGAAAAGAGTAGAACAAGGAGTTTGATCTGTAACTGACATGAACAATCGATTGAGATAACTCACTACCTTCTGACTGGCCTCAGCCTCCTCATTTGTAAATGAGGATAACAATAATAACATCTACTTCATGGTTTTATTGAGAAAATTTAGTTAACCTTTGTAAAGCATGGTGTCTGTGGCACAGTAAGCAGTCAATACATATTAACTATTATATCATCATTGGTATGTTATCACTGAGGACTAAACTCTGATCTTTGTTTTCCTCTCTTGCCCAAATTCCTATCTAAAGGGCCTGCAGGCTCATGCCCTTTAAACTATAAAATCTCATCAGATAGGTCTTATTCAACCCTATATAGTGTGGCTTACTTTCCAACCTGACTCTGGCATAACATCACATGACTGATAAAGAAGGAAATAAAAATATCTTACCCCAAAATATGTTTCTTTGCCATATTTTGATATGGCCCTGCAAAGCTCTTTTGTGGGGGTAAAATCTGCATCTGTTGAATCTCTACAACATAACTAGATCTTTCCCTTTCCAGACCCTCCCAGTCCTGAAGAGACTGAGAGTCTAGCACCTTTTTAATGTATTTATTTATTTTTATTTCTTTGGATACAGTATCTTGCTCTGTCACCTAGGCTGGAGCACAGTGGTGCGATCATGGCTCACTGTAGCCTCAACCTCCTGACTTCAAGGGATCGTCCCATCTCAGTTTCCTGAGTAGCTGGGACAACAGACATACACCACTGTGTTGGCTAATTTTTACGATTTTTTGTGGAGACAGTCTTGCTATGTTAGCCAGGCTGGCCAATTCCTGGCCTCAAATGATCCTCCTAAAATGCTGGGATTACAGGTATGAGTCACCATGCCCAGTCTCTCTAGCACCTTTTATTTTTAATTAAAAAAAAAATAGAGACAAGGTCTCACTATGTTGCCCAGGCTAGCCTTGAACTCAAGGTCAAGTGATCCTCCCATCTCAGCCTCCCAAAATGCTAGGATTATATGTTTTAAAGGTTTGAGTAAGAAACACTTGTCATCTATTGTCTCTAAGAGTGGCCACCTATGAGACTTCATCTACATAATAAGAACCTTGGTCTCTAGACTCCCTTAACCTAAACCAAACACTCCTTTCTATTGATTCAAGGTTTTCAGATAACTTAACTCTTTCAATCAACTGCCAATCAGAAAATCTTTGAATCCACCTATAGCCTGTAAGCCCCCTCTTTGAGTTGTCCTATCTTTTTAGACCAAACCAATGCATTCCTCACATGTATTGATTGAGACGTAAGATGTTTCCCTAAAATGTATAAAACCAAGCTGTAACCCAACCACCATAGACACATGTTCTCAGGACCTCTTGAGACTGTCTCAGGCCATGGTCCTTCATATTTGTCTTAGAATAAACCTTTTTTTTTTTAAGTATTTTTACAGAGTTTGTCAACACTGTTCTCTATAAATACCACCACTGTAGATAACACGCCTGACACAAAAATTACAAAAAAAAGCTCACATACTGCAAGTCATAATTCAACATATATATCACTAATTGAAAAATATACATTACTAATAAACTAGGCATGTATCATTAACTTATCACAATAAGAAATGGCTTCAATAGGCTTTGCCTGGCTTCTGGTCCCAAAACTGTTACTGAAAGCCTTGCTATTCAAAGTATAGTCTGAAGGCCAGTAGCACTGGCATAGCATGGGAACTGGTGCCAAATGCAGAATTTTGGCCCCTTACCACCTTCATGCCTATTCAGAATCTGCATTTTAACAAAATCCCCAGGTGATTCAAGTGCATGTAAAATGTGAGAGGAATTTCAGAGAAGAGCAAATACAAGTGCTCCAGAAACTGATTAATTTGTATGACAACTAGGACAATTAAAGGCACAAATTAGCATATAATTAAAAACCCATTTTAGCAGATTAGCAAAGATACTTTGCATACACCAACCTAATAGTCACCAGTTATCCATGTATCAAAGAGTGAGAAGAATGTGAGAAATGTGGCCTGAAGAATTGCAGAAGAGAAGTGGTACCTTATATTAATATATTGAACTGTGAAGACTTAAAAATGGTTAAAAATTATTTAAGAAGTATTATTATTATGATTTCTGCTTATAGTTTTTTTTTTT